TTCAACGAGTTTCGACAAAAGAATAAAGATCAGAGGTCTTAACAATTAATTATCATATATCAATTTATGTACTTTGAGCAATATGTCCCACATAATCAATCAAACGACAACATTTTTATGTTAACTTGCCTTGGTAGTTTTAAAGCGTTGGATGATTGATATTGATCCTGAAAAAATGGCTCCGGTTCTGAATCAAATATTAGAGAATGTAGGGACACAAGATTTACTATGAGACCCATATCATCCAAGTGGGGGTGGTGTGTTCCAGGCATTATTTGAAAGACAGATTTTTTGCAAGGCCTTGTCATGGCAGTTTTAAAGCTCTTGATAATTGATATTGATTCTGAAAAAATGGCTCCGGTTCTGAATTGTACAGTGGAGAACGAAGGTCAACAGGGTTACCTCTATAGGGATTTTTCATGGATATTTGGCACTGTGCACTTCAAATGGATACGAAGACAGGTTTTTTCTGGACCTCATGCCCTTGCAATATTGTGGCTCTTACTTATTCCTAGTGATCCTGAAAAAATGGCTCCGGTTCTGAATTGTATAGTGAAGAACGAAGGTCAACAAGGTTACTTCTACAGGCATTTTTCAAGGATATTTGGCACTGTGTACTTCAAATGAATACGAAGACAGATTTTTTCTGGACCTCATGTCCTTGCAATATTGTAGCTCTCACTTATTCCTAGTGATCCTAGAAAAATCATTTCAGTTCTGAATCGTATAGTCGAGAACGAGGATTCACAAGGTAACCCCTATAGGGTATTTATATGTACATTTAGGGTGTGGTGAAAGTAAAGGAAAAGTTCAACGGATCAAGTTGAAATTTTGTGTGGTGGCTACTGGTATATAGCTGAGTATTTGCTGGAAGTTTTACTCGGAACAACCTTTATATTCACAGTGGGCCAAAATCCCAGGAAAACGTTCCCCGTCCTTTACAATTTTTAATTCAATCCGGTGCTAAAGGTTAAACTATTGATTCATTGATTTTTATTTAGATTTGATTTCGTTTATTGTGAAGCATTTGAAATTCAAATAGGATTTAGACTGAAGTCATCGACTAGTACAATATGTTAGTGAAAATCAGAATCTATGTCTAAACCCTTCCATCCTATATTCATTATTTTAGGTCGACTAATTCTATACTCGAATCTTTTAATAACTACGTCACTTGGATTTTTATATGACTATCAGATCGATTTCGGATTTTTCAACCCGGAAATTCCTCACAAGCACAGAAGTGTATAAGATTCCGTCAAATTTTCAAACTATCTGACGAAGGAAGGTCCCCAAGTTAAGGACGCTGTTCGACTCCATATGATGACAACGAGGTAGGACTAAGAAAAGCCTAACAGGATTCGTGCCTGTGGCAAAGGATTTCCGAAAAGACCGAATTAAAGAATTTCGACCTGAAATTTTGTCCATAGATAGGTCTAATGGTCATTAGAATTGTCTGAAAGTTTCAGCCAAAATGAACGTTCCTTTCTTGAGATATTGAATTATCAAAAAATAGTCACTTTTCACAGACAGGTCATAAAAACTGAGTCTATTTGACAATTCAATATCTCGAGAAAGGAACATTCGTTTTGGCTGAAACTTTCAGACAATTCTAATGACCATTAAATCTATCTATGGGCAAAATTGCAGGTCGAAATTCTTTAATTCGGTCTTTTCGGAAATCCTTTGCCACAGGCACGAATCCTTTTAGACTTTTCTTAGTCTCATAGAGACCTACCTCGTAATGATAATATGGAGCCGAACGGCGTCTGTAATTTGAGGACTTTCCCTCGTGAGAACTTTGATACGAGCTATGATAGTTATGTGAACGAACTAAATATTGACTTGTATACTTTTTTCAGTTCCTTGTTATCATATAACCTGAGTGATGTGTTCATTACACTACTTTTCTCATTTATACGTTCATCTGTCATCACTATTTTGTAAATTTTAATATAGATATGCTAAACTGCGCTTATTGCAATACTTTAGTTTGAGAAAGTATCGAGCTTCAGAAGAGTTGAGAAAAAACCTCTATATACTGCTCTGACAGACGACGGAAAGAAATATAAAGTAAACCCTTTACTACCAAATGAAGGCTACTCATTTTTATGAAATAGGTAGTTCAGATCTTATGAGTGTTTCAATAATGAATCTCATACTCGCATTTTTTTTTTCGAGTTCGAAAACCTTTCTCTCAATTGATCATTGTTTCATTTCTAGACTATGTATAATCTCATAAGAGCAAAATAATCTGAACAGAATGGTATTAAAACATGCCTATTTCCTATTTGTCAGTTTGTGAACAGTTGTCTATTATTAATGTTCATGTATAGACATTTTTCGGCTCACAAAAGAAATTCGTTTGTTCGTTAATAGAAAACATGTTAAATAATCGATATTAGATATGTCACAGAAGTTACAACAAAACAGGTGAAAGTGATGATCTAATCAATTCGATGATATACATTGTTATTTTGCATTCGTTCAGATCGGATGAGCTTCTATTTACTGAGAGGAAGAACTAAATCGATCTTTGTTAGAAGCAACTTTTTCATATCAGTGACAATTAAGTGTACCGAACGCGCATATCCAAAGACAGAAAGCTAGAACTAAACTTTGATGATGTGTAGCATCAAATAAAATTGAGAAATCGAGATTTTCCTCTCTTTTATCGACTAAAATCATCCGATTTAGAAAAATGAAAAAAATAGTTATTAAAACCGAACTGAAACAAGTGTTCTAAGAAGGATATATGGACAGTTTTGAACAAGTTTCATTTGTCATTCGTTGTAGTATGATGATATATCCTACGATGTAGACCAAAATTGAGTATCTATAAGCTATTTCTAACCAACGTTTGATCTTCCTTTAGAAATATTCTGATAAATTGCTTAACAAAAATCGATTGATACTTTTCATTGAACAAATCGAATTTTGTTCATCAGGAAATTCGACGATCTCCTACATAATTTTAATCTCTATTATGTTAACACTTTAAAAATTCAAACGAAATAAAACCTCTACTACTAATTTCAAAGTTATAGTAATAAAAGATTTTTTTGATATTATTTAAGGTTGATCTGTAAATGCAATGGAAATGTCTTGTTTACTTGGTCAACAAGAATTCGAAGGTAAACGTCCACCAATGATGCCAACTGGTCGAACTTTACCATCATTTCGTCCATATGAATATTCACCACGATCAGGTGGTTTTGTTGATAGAAGTTTTTTAAGTGGTATACGACCACAAGAATATTTTTTTCATTGTATGGCTGGACGAGAAGTATGAAAACAATTATTTGTTTTTTTTTTAAATTCATTTTTATTTTTCTTTTATTAAGATCTTATTGATACAGCTGTAAAAACTGCATGTATTGGTTATTTACAACGTTGTTTAATGAAACATTTCGAAGGTTTAGTTGTTAATTATGATTTAACAGTACGTGATAGTGATGGAAGTGTTATACAAATTCAATATGGTGAAGATGGTTTAGCTATTGAAAAATGTACTTATTTAAAAGAACAATATTATCCATTTCTTATTGCTAATCAATCAACAATATTAGGTCAAGATGAATATTCACGTATTGTTGATATATGTGGTTCAACAAAAGAAAAACCAATTATAAAAACATTAAAAAAAATTCGTGCATGGAGAAAAAAACTCGAGATTTAGCTGATGATGAAAATAATTTAAATAATTCAATATATTTAAAAATAAGTGATGAAACAAAAATTCATATGACACCATTTATAAATTATTCACGTTTTTTTGATTTAAATACATTAACTAATTCATCAAAAAGTAAAGATATTAATGAAGCACGTTCAATTATGGTTCAAACATGGAGAAATTTATCTGATGATAAACGTCAACAATATAATCATGGTGTTGTCAAATTTTATTCACCTGTTACAGAAAATTATTTACCAGCATCAAATTTAGGTGCTATTACTGAACGTTTAGATGATTTAATAAGAAATAATATTACAACACATGGAAAATTAGATCAAACTAATATGGATAAACGAACATTTGAAAAAATGATTCATTTTAAATCACTTAAATCATGTATTGATCCAGGTGAAAGTGTTGAAATTTTAGCTGCACAATCTATTGGAGAACCTAGTACACAAATGACATTGAATAGTAAGTTATATTCAAATATAAGTTTTATATATTTGAACAATTTTTTTTTTTTTTTTTGAAACATGATCTAAAACGAATGTTGATGTATAGGAGTAAAAATTTTAGACTTCCACACAAATTGTGACGGAGGTTAAAATATGAACACCGATCGTATATTAATAATGTCGAGTAATCACAGAGTGATTAGTAACAATAGTTTTTGTCAACTAGAAAAAATGAAAATAATAAAGATGGTTTTATGCTTTGTCAAGATAAACACAGTTCGAAAACGAATTGAACTAGACTTAAAATTTCCACTTGATATAGAATGATTTATAGATTTAGATTTCGAATGAATTTATTATCAAAGAGTTAGTGAGAATAGTACCAATTTAGATCGTCGAAAGTTGGATAAATGATGCATTAACGCAGTCAGTCGATATGAAACTACAACATGTCTAATAAGTTCGATTTATATGTAAATCAAAGTAAATAAATCAAGAGTCTTAGAACAGATGTATTTGAGCGCGCTGAAGCTCATTGAAAGCCTATGATGATCCATTGAAATTCAACAAATACATTATCAGTCAACGAATTCCACTATGATTTGAAATTAAAGAAGAAAATGCGCATCTTGACAAATCCTATTAAATTTCAGCAATCAAAGAATCTGTCGGAACTCAATAGATTCCAGCGGAACTTGAGTAGATTAGATTTGATTTTTCATTTTTCTATGTAATCTTAGCTCCCATTTGTTTTTATGGTCTAATTTCATTCAATTCTGATAGATTCTATGGTTCTTGAAATTCAATAGAATCTATTCTTCTTTCTATAAACCACTAGTTGAATTTCACTAAAAAATAGAAAAATGTGAAAATTCGATCTTCTATTTGAAAACGAATTAATATTCGAAAAATTTCATGTGCTTTGAACTAGACCGGAGATATCAAATTTCTTCACTATTTTTCTTTATTTTTAACAATCAATAACAATTCTATTTGACAAATTTTTCTCTTTTTAACCTTTTCATTTTGCTGGTCGTGGTGAAATGAATGTAACATTAGGTGTTTCACGTCTTCGTCAATTACTTATGGTTGCTTCTCAAAAGGTAAAAACACCAACAATGAAGTACCTATTTTACATAGTTCATCAGCATTAGGTAAAGCAAAACGTTTACAACGTCGTTGGTCTCGTCTTTTATTTTCTCAAGTAATAAAAACTTTAAATATTCATAAAAAACTTTCATTAAAATTAAATGATCATAAACATACATATAAAATTGAATTTTATTTTGATGAAAAATATGGAAAAAAAACAATTAAATGAAATTATATGTTCATTTGAAACATATTTTATTTCACGTTTATGTCGTTCAATAAATAAAAAACGTAAAGAATTAACAACAAGTGCTCTTTTAAGATCAGCCCATATTCGTGATAAGATAACAATTAATGATTCAAATGATAAAGATGAATAACAAGAATTAGCTGAAAAAGATGATGATGATGAAGATGATGAACAAATTAATGGTGAAGCTAACACATCCAAAGAAAAAGCAAATAGAAATGATGAAAAAGAATATGATGATGATGACGATAATAATAATAACAATGAAGAAAATGAAAACTGATGATGAAGAAACAATGCAAGATAATCAAGATGAAAATGATCAAACAAATACATCAAAAATCACTATTAAAGAAGATGTCATTGATGATGATGTACCAGGTAATCTTATTGAAAATAAATAAGAGAAATAAAACTTCAGAATTAGTTGTTTTTTGATAGATTCTTGAGTTTTATAGTTACGTATTTTTTTTTATTAAAATAAAAAAAGTGTTGTAAATGATGAATTTTAACGACTTATCTTTCAATATGTGAAATTCTTATGTACTGTTAATGTGCATTCTTGATGAAACATGTTTATTATAATATATTACAATAGATGCGAAAGAATACGTATCATAAATCATGACGCACACCTGAAGGATACGAGAAGAGATAATTTTTCTCGCAGCAGAACTAACGAGGTAAATTCATCAACTGTTCAATCTCTTTTGAGTTGAAAGTGTGTTCATCATGTAGGTTCTGATGAACTATGAATAATCTGAAAAAGAATTCAAATCCTTAGATTATTGTTACTGAGCTATTGTACTTTTGAGGGTATTGTTTAAATGAATGCCGTGGCTCTCCTCCGGAAAACTTATTTTTGAATTTCAACTTGAAGCTTTGCATATAAACAGATCTTAACGAGAATAGTTTATTGTGAATGTTTCAAGTATTTTGGTTTGCTTCTATCTTGAAATAAGAACATTGAATCTATCGATGTATATAAGCAATATAAAAGATAAGCTTTTACTATAGTTGTATCTTATGATCGAAATCATGAAAAGATTTGAAACTTTCATAATAAATTATTTTCGTGAAGGTATATCTCTATGCAAAGCTTCAAGTTCAACACCAAGTATAAGTTTTCCTTATATTCCTGAGGAGAATTATAGCATTGTATTAAAAAACAATTTAAGAATGAAGCATCTCAGCAACAATAATCTAATGAGCCCGAACTCTTTTCAGGATATTCAAAATTCATTAGGACCTACTATATATACATAATCTGAACTTCAAAGCGACTTCCCTATCATATTTGCCATTCATAAAACCAGGATTACATGGTAACCAAAGTCACAGAAAAAAAAATTCTTTCAACTAATGTTTTGTCAATGAATGTAACAGTTTATAATAACTAATTTTCGAATAAAAAATTCTTTTTTTTTGTTTTTTGAAATAGCATTGGGTATATCTAAAGAAGAAATGAATAATGATGATGAACAAGAAGTACCAGGCAATGATGAAGATAACATTGATGAACCACCAAGTAAAAAAGCAAAGAAAATCAATACGAAAACTACTCTTATGGATAATATGACATACAATGAACGATTTGGTGTATGTATATAACAAAAAAAAAAATAGAACGACATTTTCGATTTCATTTATTAAAAAACGACTTTTCCTTTTAGAATGTCTGTAAACACGCTGATTATATACGTGACTATACAGCTGATCTTGATAATAATTTATGGTGTCGTTTAACAATGGTATTTCCTGCTACTCAACCTCGTATTGATCTTGAAACATTAATTCGTAGTGAAGCATCTCGAACATCGATAACATCAATTGTTGGTATTCAAAATTGTTTTATAAGAGAAAATAAAGAATATCGGTCAAAAATAAAAACTGATTCTAATGATATTGAATATATTCTTTCAGCTGAAGGTGAAAATATAAATGCATTAATGACATATTATCAAATATTTAATTTACGTCGAATATATACAAATAATATTCATCGTATGGTACAAATATTTGGTATTGAAGCAGCTAATCGTACATTAATACGTGAAATAAATCGAATATTTCGTACTTATGGAATTAATTGAAGTTGATTATAGATATTTATCTTTATTAGTTGATTATATGACATATGAAGGTGTTTATAAGTCATGTAATCGCTTTGGTTTAAAAACAAATGGAAGTTCTTTACAAAAAAATAACATTTAAAACATCAACAACATCTTTAAAAGAAGTATTATTATATGATGAACATGAACAATTAAAATCTCCATAATCTCGTTTAGTTACTGGACGTATGATTCAATACGGTACTGGTGTTTTTGATATTCTTACAAAATTATCTTCATCATAACAATAATTAATATATTTTCTTGTATTTATTTGTTTTATTTTTCTAGTGACTGTTTTTTTTTCTTTTTTTGCCTAACTAAACAATATTATTTTGTTATGTGAATTTTTCAGATATCTTATCCTCATGGATAAAAATGATTTATTAACAATCAATGATAATTCAGCTTGATTTTTGGACTTCATCAATAAATGAAATTGTCTATTTGATTTTTATCGATAGAATGACAATGATAGAAATGATGATGATAATGAAGAATTAGATGATGTTGTTGAACGAGAACGAATTAAACTTTTAGCAAAAACAAAAACGTTTAGATGAATATCTTATGAAAAATCGAACTAAAGATGATATGGTTGTTTTCAAACGAACGAATAAGTAAAATACAAAAATAAATCAATTTGTATTTAAAAAAAAATCGTTTTTATTCTATTCTATGGATTTAATGATAAAGAAACATTTGAAGATGCTAATCATGATGCTTTACTTCTTTGTGCTGATCATCAAAAAATACATATGTTAGTAGCAGGATTTTCAAATGGACATTTTTATCTTCATGAAATGTTTAATTTTAATATTATTCATTCTTTAAAGTTTGAATATAGTCTTGAAAAGCTGTCAAAACTAGTTTTGATGACAAAGAAAAAAATCAAGTCTGTGAAAATCTGGACATGAGGGTGTCTTCATTGCGTTCAGATTATTTTTTCAATAAATGAATGCAAAAAAAAATAAGTAAATATACAGAATGATAGGAAACTCCACGGGCTTTCAGAATATATATGTCCCGCGTAATAGAAGATCCCCTCCCCCGTTTATTTAAGATTTTTTTTGAGAACTGAAGATTTTCATTAGTTTTTTACCCCGAAACGTGTCTATTCCTAGGATTTTCACCTAAAAATTTTCAAATTGATGAGTTCAAATCTACATTTAAGATTCGAAAATCGTGAAAATCCTTTCTCCAATTTTCAAAATCGCTTTGGTTTTCTCAGAGTATCTTTTTAATTACAAAAACCTATCAGTGTAGCCGGTGTGGAGCCGAAGTGTAGTACTCATGAGACTCAGGCTGCTACAAATTTATATTATATTCTCAAAAACGCGTGCAAAAGTTTTTTTTCGAAAGATATCAAATAAATGGATAGATTACAACTAATTCTATTGTTTGAGTTAAAGCATACGCTCTAAAACTTTATCCTAACGAAACTATTTCATTTCGATTTACTACCTCTTCCTTCGCTCCATTTATCAGATTTCCTGAATATATTTATAATATTAATACAACCGACGCAGAATGTTAAGTTTCTAAAGAAACATTGATCAAAATGATTAATTTATAACAGTTTCTATTCGTACATTTCAAAAAATTTTTTCTAATGCGTGCTTTTTTTCTTGTTGCTATTCGCTGTATTATTCTTCCGTTAATCGAGATTATCATTGTTTCGTATTATTCGATGCAAGCTTTAATTTAATGGTTAAATAAGCTTAGTATAGACATTGGTTGTATCTTCGTCAGATCCTAACAATCTTGTATACATACTATTGTACTGAGTAAGACACAAAATAAATGTTTCTAAAAGTTAGAAAGTAGTTTGATTACGCTTTTATGTAACTTATACTACCGTTATGAATAATCACAAAAGATTGTCTTTCACATGAATCATATAAACTTTTATCTGCGCAAAAAAGGAGGCTTGCTTTTTGCGAATACTCATAAAAATATTCGAAGTATTGAAAAGCCAAAGATTCTAGAAATTTCCACAACCTTTTAAATATAAGTGATTGTTACGACATGTAATGAGGAAGAGGGAACAAGCTGAAAACCTTGACTCAAACTTACGGTCACTATTACTTTCTTCGGAAATATATGGGAGCTATACAAAGCTTAAAAACATAATATTTAGAACAGAAACTAGAAATTACAGAATTTTAAAATAATATAGCCACTGATGTTAATTACTCCCTATTGTTTGTTGCTGTGGGAAGATATCGTGATGTTTTTCCCAGCATCTGGTTACTATGATAGGAAATGAGGAGCCGTAAATCCTGAACTTAAACTTGCATTTACTAAATTCTTCGAAAATACTCGTGAGTTTCGCAAAAACCCGAGAGTCATAATACAAGACCTCCCTAAAAAAATTTTCCGCTTAAACATAATAGAAGACCCTGGGTCTTTTATTGTAGGGGGAGGGGATTTACTATAAATAAATTTCATATGTCTTCATTAGACTTTTGTGAGCTATCTGTTGAGGCATAGTTTTCGTTGATTATCATCTGTTGAACTATTTTTTTTGCTATAGATAACTCTTCTAGATAATGGATTTCTATAACGGCCTGTTTTAGAAAAATGTTTCCTGTAAGATCGATACTGAAATAAAAAATAGAAAAAGCCGAATTCATTTTAAGAAGCATTAAAACGAATACGATTAACTCATGTATTAAATGAAAGCTTGTAATCGATCAAAATAGTACTAAATCAGAAATTTTAGTCATGAATGATTCGGTTTCGTATTTTGAATTTCAAATTGTATTTTTATTTTGCTAATAGTTCCTAGAAGAATGTTTAGAATATCTTGTATACATTGGAGGTAAATACATTTCAAATCAAAAAGAGCTTGTCAGGACAGCCTCATTTGGGACTCAAATGTGGAACCCACTTATCTTCTTTGACTTCATCACATCAATACAAAACATAGAGTGTAAAAACTCTGTAGGGCGATCCTTTTTCTCCCTGATTCTCGATTGTCAGGAAAGATCCTTTTTTTTCTTCATCTTAAGAAGAATTCTTTTTCTTTGAAACAGGCGTCTTGTTTTGCACCTTTATTATTGTTACTTATTCGTGACTTTTCATTGTCCTAATTTTTTAAATTTAAAACTTTCATTATTATAAGAACTGAATACAATCACAAATGATTTTGTTGTAAATAATTATCATATAATCTAAGTTGAAAAGTCTGTAATGGAAAGTGTCTATAATGGTGGATATCTGGTCGCAATAGTCTGTAATGGAGTGGAAGAGGCACTGCAACAACCTCGCCTTAAAACTTAAGCACCTCATTTTTTTTCGAAGAATACACAAGTTCCACAAAAAAGAAACTTAGAAGCTGAGTTTCAAAAATAATTATCAACTATCAGAAACATCAGTTACCATTTTCTCCATTTTACTGTGTTATAAAATATTCCTTTCGTATGAATAGATTTATGAATAGCAAGCCTATTTAATATTGTCTTTATAATTTACAACATATATAATGAAAGTTTAATTATTTGGGAGCTTCAAAACGGTTGAATATTTTTAAAACAGAATTTTATGTTATTTTGATGCATGACTGAACGTCGAGAGAGAGAGATAGCGTGAGAGAAACGTCCGTCCACTTAGCGACAAATATATCATATATATATAAACGTGTATATATGGACACGTACTAATTAATGGTTTCGGACGAGCAAACGAGAAAAAAAGCCTTAAAAAAATTATTCGAAAAAATAACGACATAGCCATAACGGTCTCTTTCAGGAAACTATAAATAGTTGCATAGCATCAAAAATTAAACGGTACGCCGTTTACTTTACAATTTAAAGATCTTTCAAAATGATTTACTCGATGACCTCACCTTTTCTCATATTGCAATATATTAGAAAAGGGGAAAGTACTGTTCGATTAGCGGAATAAACATCAAATGACTAACTACCCAGTCGGACTGGGTACTCAGTTCGACTGGGTATCCAATCGGACTGGATATCCAGTCGGACTGGGTGTCCAGTCCGTCTGGGACCCAGTTACTGGCACTGGTGCATCCCTATGACTCGTACAACATTCAAAAATTACACCTAAACCAGTTGATAGTGCCGAGATATGCATATTCCAAGTTTGCGATGTCACGTCGCTAACGAATGATTTTACCCATATATTATACGTCGTTGGAACAATCGAATATTATGCTATGTCGGCAACTAGTTACATATCAGCTTTTTTATGTTTTAGAGTATGATTAGTATTGAAATTATCTCTTTTTGTAAAAATTTTTTACCATTTTCTGTTCATGAAATGAAATATAATTAACTAAATACGAAAAAATTTTTAAATCCATACCTCTATAATAAAACACAGTTGTCTGTCCGTCTGTTACCAGGTCCAAGGTCAAAGGTTAGAGGTTGATTAAGGCTATAGGGGTAAGGCTATAAGAGAGTAAGGCAATAAGAGCATAAGACTATAAAGAGTAAGGATATCACGGAATAAGACTATAAAGAGGTAAGACTATAAGGGAGTAAGGCAATAAGGGATAGAGCTACAAGGGAAGAACGCTATAAGGGGGTAAGGCTACAAGAGCTACAAGAAATACAAGGCTATGCGGCTATAGGGCTACATGGACTATTAGCGATCTTAGGATATCACGCCGTAGGGCTTCTATGCACATAATGTTCAATGTCTGTGTGTCTGTTACCGAGTGAAAGGTTAAAGTTTTGAGGTCATACGTTAAAGAAAAAAAAAGCTGCCGTGCAGTGTGCACGGATTCTTGCTAGTAAAGTATATTTCATGAAATGTTTATTTATTTATTTCTATTTTTGATACAGTTATTTAAAAGAAAAGGAAGTAATTCTTGCAGACCAGCCTTGGATTTCGACGAATTCTGGTTCAGTCTGGATTAGTGTCAGATCTAAGATTGAATTAGTAGTCCAACGTTGGATTCAGGAAACAGTTTACCATAAAACTCAGACAAATCTCGGGGCCCATGCCAAATTCATTTTGCTATTGATAACCTATCATAAGACAATGATTTTTCAACCAAGTTAGCGATCAGTTGACAAATTAAGTATGAGTTCAATTAGTAATGAACAGCTTCGCAGAGGAGTTATTTCCCTGTATAAAGTGGCTCCTCAATTTTCAGATCATCCCTTGATTCATCCATTGATGATTGTATCGATTGAAATGCCATTACTATTTTATAGGGTGTCCAGTAAGTAGCTCCACAAGGGAAATTTTGAATATCTTCATTATATCTCACTCAAATGAACTGATTTTTTTCTTGATAAAAGAAGATAATCTAAGCCCCATTTATACGGGGTTGGTCTATTTATACACATATGTGAAGAGAGAAAACCTCTGCTTAATATATTAGTGGACGGTTTATTTAGTGATGATTTATTAACCTTCAATATATAGCTCAGATATTGGAATCTCACTTTCTGACTATAAGCTTTATCTTCTTTTCTTTTCCCCTTTTCAAACATGCAATAATCAAACTAACACACGTACACGAAAGATACACATGTGTGAGAAAAAGCACATGAATTTTAAGACGAACAAAAGAAAGGAAAAAAACGCTATAGTGATATAAATGATAATGCACTGGGAATAACATACTGAATAACATTCATTCCTTTCATTTACGATTCTTGCATATGCCTACACGTCGTACGACTGAAGAAAAAGTTGCAATAGTGCGACTTTTTTCTAAGTTTGATAATGCACACGAGGTTCACAGGCAGTGGCAGTATCATTTTGATACAAGTCCACCGGATACACACACAGTTTTATCAACCAACCGGAAGTTTGATGAAACTGGAACAGTTGAAGATTTACCGCGCAGTGGTCGACCAGTAAGTATACTCTCAGAAGAAAAACTGGAAGAAATAGAAGAAATGGTCAATGATAATCCACGATTGTCTATTCGAGAAGGCGCTGCTCGAGCTGGTATAAGTAAAAGCAGTTACCAAATAGCTATGACGCAACTTAACTTTAGACCTTATCATCCAACTTTAATAGTGGACCTTAATGAAGATGATTTCGATCGCCGTAGCGAATTTTGCGAAATATGGCTTGACAAATTCGAGAATGATCCAGGTTTAATTGATCGTATATTTTGAAGCGACGAGGCTAAATTCGGTATGAACACAACAGTTAATCGACACAATTGCACGTACTGGTCTCGAGAAAATCCGCATTTCAAATTTGAGGTATCAAATACAAAACAAGGGATTACAGTGTGGTGTGGAATGAGTTCCAATGGTCTTGTTGGTCCATATGTTTTTGATGATCTGTTACCGGTTCACTATACAAAGAGATGCTGGTCGAATATGTATGGCCCAAATTGAAACGTAAAAAGTTTTACTTTCAACATGATGGTGCTGGAGCTCATTATGCTATTGCTGTTCGAGAATGGCTTGATGAGAATTTTTCTGATCATTGGATTGGCAGACGTGGTCCATTCGACTGGCCAGCGCGTTCGCCAGATTTAACTCCATGTGATTTCTTTCTTTGGGGCTATTTAAAAGATATCGTGTTTAAAAAGCCACCTGCTACACTTATGGAACTTCAACAAAGCATTGAAGAAGCCTGTGAACAAGTGACAGAAGAAATGTGTCGCAAAGCATGTCGCTCTGTTATGCAACGTTTGCGTGATTGTTTACACCGTGAAGGACATTTTCTTTCGTACTAGTGTTGTCACATTGTATATCAGCTATACCGCTTGATATAAATAAAAGAATATCTTACAATATTAATTTGTAGCCAAGAGTAAAAAATGTTTGTGAGTTGCTTAATGACAACTAAACAGATTTTCCCTCTTCACATATGTGTATAAATAGACCAAGCCCGTATAAATGGAGCTTAGACTATCTTCTTTTATCAAGAAAAAAATCAGTTCATTTGAGTGAGATATAATGAAGATATTCAAAATTTCCCTTGTGGAGTTACTTACTGGACACCCTATATACATCATTAACGATTGATTCAAGTAAAAATAACAGTTCTCATTGTAGTCAATTCTCGAACGACATGTGTTATACCTCATGATTACTGAAGTAATTATGAGTTCCCTAATTCGAATTCGAAAATCATGGAAGATTGAAGCACCTATTATCAATTCAAAAATGAGTGAAGTAGGTCAATACGCATTTTTCGTATTTATATCACAAATAAGTAAAAGCTTTATCTTAATCACTCTTGAAAAGGTCATCGTCGAACAATATCGTAAATTTGTTATCCTTCCCCCTCCCTCATCCTCTT